CTTGCACTCGCACCCTATTTGAATGTTATGTGATAACAAGTGAATCAATTTATATCACTCTTGCCTGTTAACAGCATAGCACATCCGTTCACTAATACCCCCTTTCAGGTTTTTATTTCTTTTTATCATACAATTTTTAAAAAATACACTTTTTGGTTGTGTGGAGCAACCTTTCATATACAGCTAACACCGACTTTTTTTGTGCGGTGGGCTTTCAACTATTTTCGGAGTATACCGATAAGTTAACTTTAAGTTCTATTTCCCACTTTCCATAAAAAAATAAATAAATACAACAGAAAAAATATCAGAGTGATATTCATATTAAAATATCAAGTATGATTGTAAAATCAGTAGTTCCAGGCCATAAGCCTCTCCGCCTCTTCTGTTCCTCAGAGTAGATGGAAAATTCAGCATTTTTTGTGGCACTTCCCATTATTAAAGCACTAAAGAAGACTGGACACGGCAACCATAAGTGGCCGGCCTCAAGGCCTACCTGTGGACAGCTTCCTCGTTAAATTTGAATATGCTATCATCTACATGACAATAACGTAACGTCAAGACTAGAGAAAATATTTTTAGATATTGCTTATTGTTCTCGAGATAAATTGCTTAGACTTTTAAAAGGGACCAAGACAGTTTTTTCATAGAGGAAGCAATATATTATCGTCAAGCCAATTGTAAATTTTCACGTGTGTCGCTAATTGCTTTTACAGATAGTTTTCTAAGAGGGACAAGAGTGCTTTTCATAGAGGAATCAAATCAAACGAAATGTAAAACTTAGGAGCTTGATAATAATACAGGGAAACTCCCAGATAGTTGGTTCTACGGTAAGTGAAGTAAATGAACGTTTCTTTTTGTATATGTGAGGCTGGATCAGGTTAGTTTGGTTATTAAAAACAAAACTGTTGATCAGTTTGTGACACAGGCTTCGTGAAAAAGCATTTTCAAGTTCTCAGTGAACAGAAATCGAACCTGAACGCTTCCTCAGACAGGTCGGAACGTCAATCCGAATGATGAGCGATATGACCTAAAATGTCTATGTTCTAAAATAATTGTTTTCACCATAGCTCACCTTTCTATTTTTTGGTGTTGATATTCTATCCGCAAAATGGTTATTTACCAACTACATAATAGCAATATTATCGTCAAGCGAATTGTGAATTGTTACAAGTCTTGCTGGTCGCAGCGCTTTCGTAAGAATTGTGTTCGCACTATTTCCGCCGCTCGATCGTTTTACAGCACCAAATCCATTTCCAACATTAGGGAGTTAAGAAAACCACGGCGGCAACGGCAAAAGAACGTGGCTAGACAAGAGGTTTAGAGAGCAGAACAATGGCTGTAAACGTGCGTTATAGTTTTTGGTACATTTCTTTGCCGTCCTCTGCAAAACAATAACGTGAAATGATCAAATTCTGCGTTGCCCAGGGAATGTGAACCACGATTGCTAATTTTTTTAATTTTTATTTCAAATCTATCGCTGTGTTCCAGATTCAGTTTCTTTTTGGTTTTACAAAGAGAAACAAACCAAATGGCTTTAGGATATAGAGAGATTTGTAGGTAAAATATAAATTCGTATTTTAATCGACGTCGCCTCGCTGTCGTATTTACTTAAACTCCCTATTAAACCGAAAAAAAATCAGGACCCTTCTTATTAATATTCCGGACGAATTATTTCGAGCCGACAATTTCAACTCGGATTGAGTTTTACTGATTTCGGACAAAATTCAGACAAAATAATAATGCTGAGGACTTTGCACTCAAAATGGCAGATGTAAACTATGCGGAATCTTAATGTTAGCAATAAATACAGTGTTATAATAGAGTCTAAAATGAACTTTCTCAGATCTCGTAGAGAGCACAACTTCAATTTCGACGTTGATTTCCTCTTGATTCCTTTGTCTCTGTTTTGCTCAGTAAGCCATTTGGCATATAATTGGCTTCACAAGTCGATGACAATTTTGTGCTGACATCAGTAGTTTACGAGTATGAGGTAGACAACGTTTGATTGATTAGGGACTTAAAGGCTGTTTACCATTAACTCGAAAAAACCGGTCGCTCGATTGTTGTAGTAAATGGGACTGGGGAATGGGAATGGGAATGACCCCGAATGGAAAGTTCCAGGGGAATGTGCTCGTTCCCTTTCCACGACCTCTTCCCGGAAGATAGGATCAAAGGTGATCCAAGCCAAAGGCCTGGAACTAGTAAAAACTAGGAAATACAACGCACATTTTCCATTCGGAAATTCCGTTTACCGGGAATTTTTGTCTACCTTTCAAGAAATTCCGTTTTCCAGAGAAAATTTCCGTTCGGGTAGACAAAATTAATCTTTCCATTTACATTCCATCCGAAATTTCCGGATTTTTTGGGTAAATGGTAAACAACCTAAGTAACCACGACGACAACGCCAAGGACAACGTCTATTGAAAAATGAATTATTTATATTTTACCTGCGAATCTCCGGATACCCTAGAGTCATTTGTTTTTGTTTATCTCTGTCAAAACTATCACAAAACTAAATTTGGAGCACAGCGATAAATTTGAAATAGCAATTTAAAACATTAGCCTTCGTGGTTCACCTTCTCCAGACAATGCAGAATTTGGTTCTTTGATGTTGTTTTGCAGAGGCAGAATTGTAATTACGGGCACGATTACTCCCTGAATTGTACGATGCGAGGTCCAATTACTAATTAATCGTATCTATAACAAATTTCGGAATTTGAAATTTCTTTTGAGAACTTCTTTTGAGTGAAAAATTTCGTAGCGCTGTTCATAAGTTTTAAAAACTGTAGTAAACATTGAGAAGGAAGCCATTAAAGTGCGCGTAATTGTAGTGCGAATGGCGTAGGTATCCAATTACAAAAAGTTCAAACTGGATTCCTGTAATTGGACACCTATGTGATGACGCGCAGATTACGTGACAAATAGGCGCGCGGAGAACCAATCGCGATCAAGAATTCTGTTATAGATACGATCAGAAGCATATAAGTGAAGTTATATTTTACCTACGAATCTCCCGATACTCGAAAGTCATTTAGTTTGTTTCTTTCTGTCAAAACTATCTCGAAGCTGAATATGGAACACAGCTTAAAATTCGAAATATAAATTTTAAAAATTATCCATCGTGGCTCACGTTCTCCAGACAACGCAGAATTTGGTCATTTCACTTTGTTGTTTTGCAAAGGACGGCAAAGAAGTGTACCAAGAATTATAACGCACGTGCACAGACATTGTACTGCTCATTAAACCTTTTGTTTAGCGACGTTCCCGTTGGAGGAGACCCTGAACATACAGTGACAAGCAATTTTCGTTGAAAGCTTTTCTGTCACTTTCTGCATCAATGTTTAATGCAAAGAACGGATTAGCGAATTCTAAAACTATAAATGAGCAAATAAAAAAGGACGCATCTACTAATAAACGACTAATAACTTCAAATATTACACTCTACAGACTTTACAGGACCTTGCAATTGCACAAAACAAAGTAACAAATCTTAACTTAGCGAGCGGCGGAAAATGTTAGCACGTTGTAAACTTAATAAGGCAAAATATTTTGGAAATTCTTTTCAGACAATTTACGTCTCAAATTTCTGTAAATAATTTATTCTTCTAATTAACCTGTAACTGGCTCTCTCCTTGAGATTTTAAAGTATATTTCAATAGCATACAGGCTCATTGTTTTTTCGATCATGTAGCATCTCTTAATCACTTACATACTTGTGTAAAACCTCTGTCGAACAGTTTTCAAGGAAATACAAGCACAATCTTAAAAATGAACGTTGTTATTAGCATATCAAAACGCAGGTGTAAAACAAAGGATCCAATAAACTGTTCTAACTCCTAATTGAAAAACGTCGCCATGATTTTCATGTGATTTGTACAACTAAGAAAATTAGTTTGGAAATACCAAATTATATTGCAAAGTGATTCTGACCAACTTCGATATAACAAGAACCAGCGACATTTTTTTACTGCGACACTGACAAATTCGACACTGATTATTCCTAGTCAAATGAAAATCTTTAGTCACGAAAGGAGTCGAAAACATTGCTTCTCATCGTACAACACTCGGCGATGAAATGTAAACAGGGCTCTGTTATTTTTGTTGAAAACTGCACCTGTTCACGAGTGACCCCCATAAAGGCTTATATTTTTGATATTTCATTCTAAATACGGAAAAGCCTTGAATGGTGGGTGGAGGTTACAGGACTAAGCTCCAAATGGGCTTAATTAGCAATGTTCTGTTTGACAGTAGAAAAAGAATACTTCAAAAGTTTTGATAATTTGTCATGTTCAAACTACGTTCGCAAACCTGAAAGCGCTCATGTCTCACAGTTTCTTTTATTTTCTTTTTGCACTTGTATAAACGCTAAAGAAAACGTATAATTCGGTGTAATGTTGAAACTTCAAGTCGTAAGGAGTTTGAATTCCGTTCGCCCTCTGGGTTAAAGCAGTTTGACAAGTCTGTCATACAATAACCCCGGCATTTAAATTAATTCCAAATTCCATCGCGCCTTCACCATTAGGTTTACAAAATATGCTATATATTACTTTCAACAAAAAAATTCGATATTTGTCTTTCTCTTTACAGTATATGAATTTTGCTCAAGTAAGAACACATCATAAAAATGTCAGCATTTACACCTCAAATCCATTTTTATGGCAGGACCAGTTTGTCTAATGAACTAAACTTCCTTCCTAATATACAGTCAAATCTTCGTAAGAATTCTCCGCCAGAAAGGACTGTTAAATTAACTGTCTTTAACCCGTTTACATACCTGCAGGTGTTGACATTAATTGCCAAATTACGCCGGTGAGCTTAATTCGCGAACGTTTCGCTTGATCCGGTTGTTTATACCTATCATTCGTTGCTTCTATTATAATCAACTAACCATTTTTTCCTTCTTTGTTTTGTTCTTTTTTAACCGATGTATATTTCCGAAGCCAGCTTAAGTTATTTTTATCATTTTGACAGCTTCGCTCCATGAATATACAAGGCAAATGAAAGTAAACAAAAGTTATCGATGGTCATGAATTTAAATTACTCCAACGTTTGAATAATTCAAACCAATCTACATCCAAAGTTGACAAGGCAAAGTGAATAAATTGGCTCATGCGCTCCATTCGTATTCATTAGCACTTTCGGTTTACCGGAAACTTACTGATACAGCTGCTGTTATTGTTCCATGATTCGAAGGAAAATTTTAATCAGGATTTATGTAATTGAAAGCAATACGTTTTAATTCAGTCACTTGGACGAGGAAGCCGCCGGCACCTTGCTAGGCCGGACCATGTCTAATAGAAATACAAACACTTGGCATATTTAGCTCGAGAAGTAGTCTAGGACGACACCAGTTCACACCTCGGGTATTTTTTGTTTGCTCCTGCCAGTGCTAGCAACTGTGAACATGACAGCGAAGCGCTTGATTACCTTAGTGCTGACAGTTTTCCAATTCCAACTGCAACGGCCTGCAACGAGTAAAGAAATAAGACTTGCTGCGTTGATACCGTGGAATGGAACCTGGCCTATTGGACCGAGAATGGCGTCCGCATTGCTTGTTGCCTTCGACACGATAAAGAACGACCTGAATCTGCTACCGGATTATAACTTGACTTACGACTGGAGAGATAGTGAATGTGACACCGGAGCCACGCTGAGATCCATGGCCGACTTGCAAGCGAAGACACCACCAATTCATGCTTTTATTGGACCAGGTTGTTCGGTTGGCTGTATGCCGGGAGGGTATTTAGCCGCACACTGGGACAACCCAATGATATCGTTTGGTTGCGGCGAAGCCACGCTTTCCGATAAAGTTCAATACCCCACATTTGTTCGAACTGTCGGAACGTACGCACAGACCGGAAAATTTTTCCTAAAGATCATGGAAGAATATAATTGGGACCGAGTTGCGATCCTGTCTTCAACGGAAAGCCTCTGGTCGCAAGTCGCTAGTTTTGTTAAAGATGAAATCGATAACGCAAAAAGCGGGGGATACATGGTGTCCTATTTTCAAGTGTTTAGCCCGGGTGTTACTACCGATGAGCAATTCAGAAGCATGTTTCTCTCTGCAAGAGAAGTGGCGCATGGTAAGTTAATATTTTTTGGTATCTGCATGACAAGGCTGTAAGTATTTATCACGCGACAGGCCCTCAGCGACGTAGAAAGCGAATGAATCACAGCAACATAAAACTGAAACACCTTTAGACACTAAGTTTATCAAAAGTTTATTGCTACTGTTACATATACCTTAGCTTTTTGTTGCCTTTTCATCCCATTTCATCAGACTGCATGCAGCACCTTAAAAGTAATGACGTTTTTTAGCAGAAAGAGCCCTGAAAGAGCGCTTTTCTTTCTATCGCATCAAGAAAAGTAGAATTCCAGATTTAAATGCACCAGGGCCATATCGGTTATTATAACGCCTTGATAAATATGCTTGTGCGAGGTTAATTGAAAACTTGTAAATTATTTAAAGATTTGAGTTTCAACGCGCTGCCTTGGCAGAATGACTGTTCCTTTAACACGATCGGTTTTGCATCATTTATTCCCTTAACAGCTGAGTCATTCCCACGAAGTACAACTGAGATTATTATTCCACCTGCATGCATTGTATTATTTTCTGTATCTCTCGAAGTCAGATTATCGCAGTTTTTCTTTCTGGATCCCTGTCGGGTTGCTTTTATGAGATAACAGACTCGTTTCATTACGTCGGTCATGTTTTCTTGAAGTTGATCTAATATTGGAAGCTGTTATCCTACTGTTCGAAATCCGGAGAAATAATATTAGCCTCTTTGGTGGCCGTCAAGTACAGTTTTCTTTTATGTAAATAAGCTAAAGGGCTCTTTTTAAATCGAGTAGATACGTTGTATCATGATTCACTTAGTACTGAGTAGCTTCATAAGGCACGGATGAACTAAATTGATGACAAACGTGAACAAATCTTTTTTTTTTTTAATTTCGAAAATAATATCGTAAAGTAGCAAAATTTCATTTGCTATTAAAGCGAATGAAAAACCTAGCATGACTTAGCGTCTATTGTCATTTCAAAAAGCTCTCCACACTGAATAATTAACGTCAATTTTCGTGCAAAAAGTGCGTGACTTGAGAAGAGAAGAGATCATTTTCGAGAACACCTCCAACCGAACTATTGTTTTTCATCTTTCGTGCGTCTCTATCCATTATTTTTCAAAAGACTTGGCGACAAAGGATGAATTACTACGGAAATTGTGAAACAAAAGCACTCGTAAAATGTTTATGTGCTGACTCTGTAGTAATGACATGTTGAAGGCATATGCAAATATAGACACAATAATGTAGATATGAACAGGCCTCAGTGACGTCCTCAAGCGATTCTGACCAATGACTTTCATGAAAGCAAATCTTTCTTTGAACACCGAGTTTCCTTTTAAGTAAACTAGTCGGTTTCGTCTGGACAGTTGCAAATCTCGTCGATAAAGCAAGGGAGGAGACGTAATGAACTTATGAGAAGTAAATAATTTTATAATATGGTTTTCTGAACCGTTAAGTAACCCAATATTATGTATGCCCTTTGGCTATAAGACAATGTGACGTTCAGCATTCGCACTGTCATACAAATCCTCGAATATTTGTTAAATGTAAACAGCATCCCAGTGGTCTTAGGGGCTAATGGACGAGATAAATCTTTGTCTGAGTTTATTTTATACACATAGGATATTTTTTTGGATTTTGCTTGCAGTACATAATTTTGAAAATTTACTAAAAGTTATATTTTAACATAGAAACGTCACGAACTGCAGTCCTGGTCAGACCTGCCACGGCTCACGAAAATTGGCAGCAGTTTGCAAATTACGTTGGGTCTCTTGAACTAACCTAAAGAAAGGAAAAACCAACTAATGAATAAATATTTGTTCAACAATCGAAAATACTCGAGCGTGATCCAGTTGGGAGTAGCTCAAACGTGAACCCACGCCACACTTTATACCAGCACTTCTGGGCTCGCCTGAGGCATAAAATGGAATTTCACTTCTTTCCTGTTATAAGAATAAACGAGAAATGTAACCTGACGTCGTAACAATTTTTACAACTGGTCAATTAACCAAACCGAACAGGGGCCATCTCGGGGCCTAAGAACATGCGCTATTGTTTAGAAACAAACGTGCGCCCGATTTCTCGTTAGACTTGCTTCAAGTCGACCTGCGATGGTCGAGCTCCGAATAGGCCTTTCCACAAATAGTCGAATATTTTGGGGGATATTTAGAAGTTTTCGAGATATGTAGAAAATGTAAAAATATTTAGAAAACTTAAGGATATTTAGAAATATTTATAGCTTTTTTTAAATTCTCAGTTCTATACCAGAAATAATCAGCGATTTTCCCCTTGAAAAAATGTATTCCATATCACTAAAATCGCTAAAGTGGCAGTTATACAAAATGGCGAATGCTGGTAACATCGAAGCGGTTAAATCTTCCTACTCAACTCCTACTACTACAAGAAATTTTGAAAATTTGTTTGCCTGGGTGATTCAAAATCGGTTTATTTTTAAATCAAAAATAAGATATTTTTAGAGGGTTTCTTACGAAATGTTTAGAAAATTTTCTGTGTTATTTAGGAACATTTTTGAGAATTTCCGAAAAGCTATTTAGGCGATTTTACGTGATAGTTGTGGAAAGGCCACGCTCCGAACGAGAACAATTCCCGCTACCTTCAAAACCAAAGTGCAAAGGGCACGAGGAGGAGGACTTTGAAAAAGTCTAGAGTACCCGTCTGGGTAGCGTGAGAGAAAATTTTCAGAAAGGAAAGGAAATGGCAGCCACATTGATTTTGTCAGCGTAGACGAGATAGCATTTATTTCCTCTTGAAGTTTTGCAAACTTGCTGAAGTCTATAGGAGAAAATTCGCTAAGGTTGATCCCAAAACGGGATTTGGTCTACATTGAAGGCTTTTCTTACTTCCAAGGGACGCTCTTACTCAGAAAAGGACCAAACTCATTTCATTGGGCATGTACTTTAAATCGGGAACACGCCGGCACAGCCCGAAATATTCTTAACAACTGTGTGCTACATCTTGTTCACACCTACTTCTCGTAAAATTTAAGCATGAAAAATATATCTAATGCGCGAACATGGCAATTTTTTTTTTTTGTCTACTTCATTCTCATGGCGAATGCCCTGAAATTACTTACCATCCATCATAACAAGTATCATTTTGCATTGTAAACGACGCTTCACCTCCAATCTTTTCATGTTTTATTAGTAAATTGCCCGGCTCTCTTTCTAAGCTTGTTTGTTTGTTGTATACATCTTCCTGCACACTATCTTCGTTTTTCAGTCTTTATCCTTGTTGGTTATGGAAGTTCCATACGACAGATAATGCTTAGTCTCCACGACTTAGACATGATAACCACGCAGTATGCTTACTTCACCTTTGAAATTACACCTGAGAACTGTAAAGGAAGCGACGGAAGGGACGAAGATGCTTGCGAAGCATTTGAGGGCCTTATGGACATTGCTAACTATATTCCTGAAACTCAAGAATATCAGAGATTTGAGGACAAGGTTCGACAAAAAATGCCAGAGTTTGCCGGCCTCGGATATCATATGCAGCCAGACGATAAAGTAAGGAGTACACTGCTATATACCCCGGATGGGACTCTTACAAAAAAATGACGGGGGTACTCGTCGCACCTTTTAGCGGCTTGGTACCTCTTAGGGTTTTCAGATCCACATCGGGCGCTTTCCTAGTACCTTTATGTCTAGCCACGCCCACAAACAGGACCTTGGTATCTTAGGGGTTTCTTTTCAAAATTTCTGACGAGCACCCCCGTCCTTTTTATATGAGAGCAACCCCTCCCTCGCCCCCTCCCACCCCCGAGTTGTATACATGTACATTAGTTACCCAACTTAGGCTGCAGTTACAGCCAGCAATCCGGCCATATCAGTTTAGTGAATTGATATCGCAGGATATCAGAGAGTAGACAAGGCTTCTGATTGGTTCATTACGAGTCTGGGTACGGTAATAGACAGAAACCTGCATGTCTCGGGTAATGTCACTGACATATCATGAACCTTCATTTGTTCTAGTTAGCTACTCCTCAGCGCCATGTGAAATACTCAAACTATCATTTCGTGTAGTATATTGAAGTATCATTTTTGTCTTATTAGTTGGATCTGAATTTTTCTTGCTTTCAAGGTTGATTTGTACGCTGGTTTTCTCCATGATGCTGTCGTACTGTACGCGCTCGCCGTCCATAATCTTATAACACATGGAGGAAACTTTACAAATGGAAGAGAACTTATGAAGCACATGACCAACAGGAGCTTTGAAGGTCCCTAATTCCTTATAAGATATATAAAACACACAATTGTAAACGTTTTTTGCAGTAATTTATTAGGCTAGATGTTAGTCCTTAGAATGAAAATTATTAAAGATTTCCTGATAAAAGGGAACGCAAAATAATTTGTTGTGATAATTAAAAGTACTGAAAAAGGTAA